TGATATGAGATGCTGTGAAGACAAAGGAGGGGGCAGCTGGTTTGGACATGTGGTCAAGAAAGGTCCCTCTGAAGAGGTCAACATTTGAGCCAGCCATGAAAAGGCCAGAGGCTGTAGTAGAAAAGTAGAGCTAGGATCAGAAAGGGAGAAAGCGGGAGGGGGAGGCCATGGCAGCCAACTACACAGGGCCCTGGGGGCAGGCAGCAGGGGCTTTTCCTTTTACTAATGGTACTAAAAACACTAATGTGTTTTAAGCAGGAAGTGAGTGTGGCTTTTGTGTGATCAGGTCCCTTACTTCAGAGCAGTCACAAATTTGGATTTTCTATATTTTAAATATTGGCTCATTTTTTTGCATACCTTGAAGGCCAAACAAAACAACTGTACAGGTCAGTCTGTGATCTGTCTTACCCTTGGGCTGTGGAAAAGGCTGTTATAAGCCAGAGTGACTGGGCAGATGGGAAAGAGAAAGAGCCCAGGTCCCAGTGAAGACCAAGCTCTGTTTACCAAATATAACTCAGTTCCTCCTTCAAAAAATAGGAATCCAACAATTACCTGGCCAACATACAGGGAGGAAGGCACAGCTGACAGGAGTCAGAAAAGTCTATAGGAGGAGTGCTCTGAATCCCCACTACCCCTCATTTCACACTGACTACCTAGCCCTGGGGTGTCCACATACCAGCTCTTGCCTCCTTCCTGTGGCCTGGGCAGGAAGTACAGATAGTTCACTATTTACCAGCTGTGACTTCAGGCAAGGCCCCTCTCACTAAAGACCCTGAAGAACCCACTTACTGCCTCCCTCCCTACCAGGCTTGTGAAAATTAAAGAAGATGAGGGGTGTGCATGGCTCTGCTCACTTTAGGGCCAGGCTGTGTATACAGAAAGCCTGTTTTTATCTACTCAGCCTGTCAGAGCCCAGCTGTGCTCCCAGGAGGGGGTGGGGGTTGGGGGCTGAGTCTGGAATGGTTGCAGCACAGACAGAAATCAGCAAAATTTGGCCTTAGGACATGCTTATTTGGCCTAGAGTGCTAACAAATTATTTTGATCTCTCTCTCTCTCTCTCTCTCTCTCTCTCTCTCTCTCTCTCTCTCGCTCTCGCTCTCGCTCTCGCTCTCGCTCTCACTCTCTCTTCACACACGTGTCAGAGGTCAACTTTTTGGCCTAGAGTGCTAACAAATTATTTTGATATCTCTCTTTTTCTCTCCACACATGCCAGAGGTCAACCTTGGGTGTTGATCCTCCCAGTAACTGTCCACCTTGTTTTTAAGACAGTCTCTCTTTAGGACCTGGAGCTTACTGATTAGGCTATAAACAAAGCCCAGAGATCTGCCCATCTCTTCCTCCCCAGAGCTTTTTATGTGGGTACTGGGGACCAAACCTCCCTAGCCCCTTAAGTCAATTTTAAATAAAGGAGCAAACTAATCAACATTTAAAAATGAGAAGAGGTCATGTGAGAATCAGATGTCCAGATTATCTTGTCAAACTAAAATTTGCAGAGCAACAGTCGGCTGGAGCCAAGGGCTGCCTCCTTCTGTGGGCGTGGACTCTCCAATCAGTCACAATCCCCATCCCTCCTATGGTGTCCTGGCCTGACTGCCCACTGCCACTCACTGAGTTTGCATTTTTGTTTTTCTTACTGCCAGCCCCTCCTGGCCTATAGCTGTCTAAGTTTTGACCCTTTACCTACATGCCAATGAGGACAGGAACTGACCTTGCCCAAGTGCTTACTATGTGCAGAGCCTGTACACCTGTTGGGCGGTGACATGCTCCTATTTTCCAAAGGAGGAAGCAGAGAGTCTGGCAGGCAGGCAAGGCCAGATGTTAACATGCTCCATCTGCAAGTCTCCCTGGAAGAGGCTGGACCTCCCCGTTTCTAGCTCTAATTTCTCAGCTTCTGAGATGAGACTGGGTCTGGTATAGGGGACAGACAGTTTGGCTAGATGTAGGTCAAGTCTCAACTTAGTTGTTGACTTGTTCTGTAACTTTGGGTGAGTTTTTCTACTCTCTGAGTCCCAGTTTCCCATTCTAATGGCTCAGACACAAATGCCAAAGGATCTGCTGGGCCCTTCCTGGCTCAAGAGGAAGTCTCAATATCTTCCAGCCACTACTTTAAGACAGCCAGGCCTGGAACCTTACTTCCTCTCCCTTTACCCAACCACTAGAACAGACCTCTATGATGATTCCACTGCATGCTCAGTCCTGGGCTCAGCATGCAGACTCATTCCATCATCTAGACCCCACAATATCCTGAGGGGGGCTTTATTATTCAATTGCACAGATGAGGATACTGAAGTCAGGAGGAAAGATGACCAAGTGCATGAAGCTGAAGGGAGGAAGACTGAGGTCCAAAATCAGTTGTGTCTGAGCCCAAAGCCCAGGCTCTTCTTGGTCTATCAATCAGGATCTAGACACTAACACTTGGCTCTCTTCTCTATAAAAAAAAAAATCTCTCTCGCATGCACGCTCTCTCTCTGAGATCAAGCGAGCGAGCGAGCAAGTGAGCAAGAGAGAGAGAGAGAGAGAGAGAATATATGGGTGTGCATGTATGGAGGTTAGAGGACAACCTGAGGTGTCAGTCCATACCTTCCATTTTGCTTGGGGCAGGGTCTCTTGTTCATCTCTGTGCACACCAAGCTAAATGGCCCTTGAGTGCCTGGGGATTCTGTCTTGACCTGCCATTTCACAGCTGGACTGCTGGGATGACAGATGCAAGTGGGTTCTGAACTCAGTTCCAAACACTTGTGTTGCAAGCACATTCCTTTACACTTGGCTCTTAGAACCCCCTTCTTTTGGGCCAAAGAGCCTCCAAATCCTATAGGCTTCATAGGCAATAGCACCAGTGAGCATGCAGCAAGGAAGCCAATGTCCCTGCATCTACACACCTACCTGCAGGAACATGCACACCCTATGAACACATGGCTGCATACTTGGACATAAGTAGGTGTGTGATCCAGTGTAGGTAGCAGACTGAAATGACTGTGTAAGTGAATGGGCCGGCTCACCTGGTGTGCAAATGAGTAGATAAGACTGCCTGTGGAGGGCTGCCTTAGCTGAGGCCAGTCTGGGCCCAGGACCTGGTTCCTGTGTTCTATCTAGTCAAGAAAAGCTTGGCATGCATTTTCATAACTTGTGAGTGGAAAATGGCCTGTGTATTGGTGCCTCATGAGGGCCACTGGGACCCTGTGGGTGAGCACATCTGTGACCACATGGTCTTAGAGTCTCACCTTGGGAGAGCTGGCCTGGGCCTGCACATAGGCACTCCTGTTTGGCTCATAGGCAGAGCAGTCCTGTGAAGGCAGAGATACCTACCTAGCTAGCCTATCCTTTCTCTCTAGGATTTCTTGTCAGTCTGGTGCCATCTCTACACCCCCAGTTGGGGCCAGAGCTGCCAGCCACCTGCAAACATTCCTGCTATGGTAACAAGACTGACAAAGGCTTGTGTGTACCTGTGACTGTGACTGAAAATTCCAGTCTGCTGTCACTTGTCCCCTCATCACCCAGTGGCCTCACAGCAGCAAGCCCCCTACCTGTACTGCAGGGGAAGGAGTCTAGCAAAGAGCGACAGTCAGGTATTTGAGAAATAGCCCCCAAACTATCTGTCCCTCCACCAGTCTATAGGCGGGCAAGAATGGACATTCAAAGGTGTGCAGACTTGGGCTAGTGTAGGTATTGATGAGCAGCAAGTTAGGAGACAAAGCATGTATGTGATAGGGAGTATGAGCACACAGGTAACAACCCACTCTAGGGTGCAGGGGTGCAGAAGGAGCATGAGCACAAACAGGCCAGAGCAGGCAGGCTGCATGTCCGTTAGAGAGTATTGCTGAGTTGAGTATGCTGTGATCAAGGATGGCTGGTGTGAATGCGTAGTTGTGCCTACCCTCATTGGGTGCACTGGGTGGATGCACAGGTGGCAGTCGCTGTATGTATAGGTCTAATGGAATGGCCATGGGGCCCCAGGGCCATAGTGTGTGTGTGTGTGTGTGTGTGTGTGTGTGTGTGTGTGCGTGTGTGTTAGACCTGTGCCCCCCGCCCCCCACCCCGGGAATGAGATGTCCATGCCCTGAACGCGGTTTGTGACCACATCCAGGACTGTGTGCCACACTGGGTGTGTGACCGGGAGTAGAACAGCCGAGCTTGCCCCAGGGAGATGAATCAATGCGGGCGGCCCCCTCCCCCCGTGGCGGGAAGCGTCCCCTCCCGCACCGCGGTAAGGAACAAAGCGGCGGGCGGCGCCGAGGCGGGCACCGGGCGGCCTGCGCACCAGTCCCTGGGGCTCAGCCCGGGCAGTGGACCACGGTCCTGCCCGGCCCCACCCCGCCCC